TACAAAAAAAAAAAAAAAAATTGGTATATGATTTTTAGTACTAATTAACTGCAATTAACCTTTAATTAGCAGAAGGTAGCACAGTGCAGCCAATAATTGAGGAAGCAGAGAGCACAGAAACAGAGCAAGATTACAAGTACTACTTGCCACTATACAAGGCTTCGCTATGTGGTGATTGGGAAAAGGCAAAAACATTCTTGAAAAAAGACAATGAAGCAAGTAGAGCTCATATCACTTCCTTTTTACAAACAGCACTTCACATTGCAGTTGGGGCGAAGAAAAACGATAATGCTAAGTTTTTCGTGGAGAATTTGGTGGCTTCAATGGCGGATTATGCGTTAGCTGTAAAAGATAGTTTCGGGGAAACGCCTCTACATTATGCTGCTCGGTTTGGCAACTTAGATGCTGCAAAAATTCTTGTCAACAGAAACTCTAATTTGGCTCATGTTGCATCCAAAAATGGCCTTTATCCGATTCATGTAGCAGCTGAATATGGTTACAAACATGTGGATCTGGTTCGTTACTTCTTCAGTGTCACCAAAGATCTTGCTCCTTATACTGGTCGGAATGGTGTTAGGCTGCTTTATCGATTGATCTGCTCGGACTTGTACGGTAAGCTACATATCTTCTATAGCAATTACTATATTTTTTCTTCAGAATTTAAAGTTAATTGATTCAATTTTGTGCTGAAGTCAATGTTCTAGAAAATTATGGGTCAATCTAACCGACGTTAAGATTTTTGCAAGTTTTTAGTATCTATATTCTGTTTCGAAAGTTATAAGTTTGGAAATTTCTCACTTATACTATTTGACTATAGCTCTTTGTAGTCCCATGGATCTTGTTTGAATAGCACTGCTATTTTCTTTTGCTATTTCCTCCGCACTTGTGACAGTACTAGTGGTAGATGAAATAATAAATTATTAGAAGCAAAAAGTAAGTTGAGCCAGTTCTGTTCCTCAGCTAGATTTTATTTTTCTTTCAAAAAAATACTCATGACCCCACCATGGGAACTTGAACGTGAAATATATATCACCGAAGGGGTTGGTACAGTTAGAGGAGGGTAAAACCAAGCCAAAAGTGTTAACATCACTCAAATTATCAACTCTCTACACAAAAGAGTATGCAAAAAGAAAATACTAAGTTCATTACTTAAATAATTATTAAATTATTCAAAATTACTTGCTAAAGTCTGTTTTTCCCGTTTGTAACAGAAAGTCACATAATTATGTTTATAGTACTAAAACAATCGTTCAACCATATTTCTCAAACTTTTGATAGCTAAATACCTATTTTACCCTTTAAATTATCAACCTTTGCCTTTTTTTAAAATTTCATAGTATATTTTTCCTTTTTAATATATATTATGGACTTACCTACGGAATAAATAAATCTTATTTATAAAGTAAAAATTACAAAATATTTTTCAATCATATATAATATTAAAATAATAAAGTAATTAAGCATAGTAAAAACTTAATTATAACAATTGCTCATATCAGTAATTTTGATAAATAACAATAAAAACTCAAAAGTTTAATTACATGAAAAAGAATAAAAGCTTTTAAAACATATATTCCATGTATGTAATATAAAAAATAAATATTTAAAATTAAGGTATATTTTATAATTAACATTATATATGCTTGAAATTATGCTCAATTATTTTATTTTTCCAACAGTATATATGCTTGAAAACTATTTTTATTCTTTATTTTATAAATAAGATTTATTTGTACTATAGGTACATGATGTCAATTAAACATAGAAAAAAATTTATAATATTAAAAAGTAAGAAAAGATAAAAGTTGATAATTTAGAGGGTAAATATGTATTTGACCATCAAAAGTTTGAAAAATCTAGTTGAGTGACCTTTTGAGATCTATAGACATAGTTAAATGACTTTTTTGTTACATACAAAAAAAACATGACTTTACTAGATAATTTCGAATAGTTGAGTAATAATTGACTCAGAAAATACTATACAGTTAACATTTTGACAATGTAGTAGCTAGTCCTAACTATAAAAATCTTACAGTGAATTAGCCTTTTCTTGGCCTGATTCTGAATGCTGCTCCTTTGATCATTCTTCGATACAACTTTAACATTAGGAGGCCATGAAATAGCTGTGTTGAACAATGCTTTTCTTTTAGTTTTTTCTCCCAAATTGGCGAGTTTATCAGCGGTAGAGCTTCCTTCTTTGACGGACAGAGCAGCTGAAAAATTGATGAGCGGATGCGAAGTCAAGATTTGAAATTTGGGATCCGTTTAATTTAATGTGTTCTAAATTAATAATTTACATATAATCAATGAGTTTCTTAAGATAAATATAATGTTTGGACTAAAGTTACTCAGTTCACAGAACCAGTAAACTAAACACTAGCTCTGCCCCTATTGATGAGCAGAAGGTTTACATCTTTGGTGCTGCCTTCGAAGATTGTCTCTGATTGTTAAAACATTTTATGTTGCAGATTTTGCGATGCATTTGGTAAAATGTTTTCCTGATTTGGCAAAATATACTTCAAATGGATCATCTCCTTTGGCGCTGCTGGCTACAAAGACGTCCGCATTCGTTGGTACAAGTCGCGTAAGCTCTCAGAAGCCACTATCTTGTAAGTTAAATTTGCTTTTTTTCTTCCGTGTTTTTTCGATTATTACATTAGCCACTGTTATCTTAATTTAAAGGTAGAATAGCCTGATAGATACTTGTACTTGTTTGTGTTTGTCATTCTGATCCCTATATTCAACGAAGTTTCATCCAGACACCTGAACTTAGTCAAAACATATATTTTAAACTTGTCTAACAATTGATTGAGCTTATGTGTCATTGATTTTGTTAAGTCGAAAAAATGAGTGATTAAACGCTCTAAAAAGGAGAGTGGATATATTAATTTTGATTTAAAAATAATAAAAACCATAAAAAGAAAAAGAGTAAAATAATTGCCCAACCCAAGCATCCCTACCCCTTCGGCCTTATTGTCTCCCGTTTTCCCCATCTTCTTCTCCCCCCTCTTTCCTATCGTAACTCCCCCCGCACCCCCACCCCTTGGCCCTTTGTGGATAGTCAGCAGGAAAATTAAAAGTTTAGGTAATAGCTAAATAAACAGATCTGTCAAGGTGGTTAAAGTTTTTAAAGATATCAAGAAGCTATGAAAATGCAAAGTAACTTTTCCAGTGATTTTTTCTATGACCATGTTCATCAGTCTATGAAGGTCATGGGTTTTCCAAAGTAGCCTGGTGAGTGGAGAGAAGTAGGTGGTGGAGTTCGTTAGTGATTATTTTCCAGCGATCTGATTTTGCTTTGTAGTGGTCGACAGTGAAATACTTACAGCGATGTAGTTCTTTGTTTTCTAGTGATGGTACGCTGCTCGTTGATTGTTGCTCCCTTTTTGTCTCTTTAAATTAGAAAATTACTATGGTAATCTGAATTTTACCTAAAATAGTGAGAGTAAGGAGATGAAGCAAGATAGAAAGTTTGTCAAAATTAAAGAGTTTTATGTATATGAATCGGGGTTTAAGAGCTCAGAAAGGAGGAAAGAGAGCAAACGGTGGAGACGACTCCGATTTTCCGATTGTTTCTCGGTGATAAGGGTCGCCGACAGCATATGTAGATGTGGATGGATTTGAAATATTTTTAAAAAGTAATATTTAAATAAATAAAGATATGGCACTAATTTATCTGATGTGGACATAATATTCTCTCCACGTCAGGGCGAGTGACCAACACGTAATGTCGAAGGGGTTTAAAATACATGTTTTGACTGAGTTCAGGTGTTTGGATGAAATTTCGTTGAATACGGGGATCAGGATGACAAACACGAACAAGTACATGTGTCTCTCAGGCTATTATGCCTAATTTAAAATAAAACAAAAAATATAAGAATTAGGATGTGTTTGGTGTGGAGGAAAATATTTTTCCATGGTTGGTTGGTTTAAATGTTTTGGAAAATATTTTCCTCATGAACATGTTTTCCCTGTCAAGAGAAGGAAAACATTTTTTAAAACTCTTTTTCAACTTTTCCAACCCTATTCTCTATCTCCACCTACCCAACCCACTCCACCC